TTTACCAATCGGCGGGCGGCACGAACGTACGATGACTAAACAAACTGTCCACATCTAAACGCGCGAGGCAAAATTTGTCTTTGATGTACCGACTACCTTCGGATGGCTCCCGAACTGCCTCGCTCCATACGACGGACGGCCGAACGCAACGTGGCGCGCCTCGGATGTACGTCCACATCTGCACATACGCCATGCCTCGTTCCCGTTCGTGCTCAGATGAATACGCGCCTTAATAGGTGCGTAGAATGACTAGGGTTGAAAGTGAACTAATATACTAACATCAAAGAATTTAGATACACCCTCACCCAAACCTCAATGTTTTACGCCCATAATGTTTTTCAATTCCTCTGAAATGTCAAAGATTTGAAGGAACTTTATTTTTCCCTTTTTGCCTCTCGGATTTGATGAAATGCTTACACAATGTTACTTTTATACCAAGGACGCAATGTTTTTGAAAATCGGTCCAGAGGTGGCAGAGAAAAGGGCCTAAAACGAGAAAAGTAAAAGCAGTTCAACTTCGTTTCTGTCGTTTCAGGGAATCCTGATCATTTTTGAAAAAAATTTTATAGGTAAAAATACTCGTTGGTTGGAGCTGTAAGGGGGAAACCGTCTAATTTTTTTGATGTTAGTACAACTATATGCTCCTAAACTTGGTAATTCTATGTACCAACTAGACATATTTTAAACATCATAGATGTCTCTGTTCATTAATTAGCCCTTGAAACTAAACCAAAAACTATGCTCGGCAGAGGGATCGAGCACGTGACCAGGCTATGTATCGGGGAGAGGCGACGTTTTTTCACAGAGGGTCTAGTTTGTGCTGAACACAATCCTTCATCCACTGATAACGGCGCTGCGACTTTTTTAGGCTACTAGGATTTTAACCAGAGTACTATTCTGGTTCTCATCGGAACTTACCGATTACCGACAACTGTCGGTAAGCGCAACCAAAAACTTCATGTCCTAGCCTAGACGCGATGAGCTCGCGGAAAGTAGCGCAATATGTACTGCTAGATTTAATTTACCACATCGACACTTCGGATCAGAATTGAACTAACCTGAACGATAAATAGAGTTACTTCAGTACACAATATTGTAGTATTATGCTATAAGTAAATATTCGCTTGGAAATAGACAAACTATTGAGATTGAGTGGCTTCAACTTGTGCTCTAAAACGCGGGGCATAGCAAAAATTTACTAAAACTGGAACATAACTCAATAAGCTAAAAATACGGTGTACCAAAATGGCAGAATTTGAGAGAGTTTCGCATGTGCAGTCGCTTCAGTTCAACGGTCGTTGCACATTTCAGTCGCATAAATAATGAATATATGTATGGTATATCGCATATACATATATGTAGCGCGTACTATTTTACAACAAACGGTGGAAAGTTCAAGCCCTAATAGATATATAATACGCCTATTACACAATCAGCAATGCTTATCTACGACCGAATGGTGAATTGTACTTTGTGGATAGGCTTTTTGGGCGTTAAATCTCACTGTCCAATACACGGACGCCACGGGCAGACATTGCATCATATTAGTTGTTAGCGCATGCCGCAAGTTCCCCTGACACGACCGTTCAATTTTTCTTTGTATTTTTAATTTTCAAACCTTAACATCTCTTTTGGCATGTTGAGCACCACTTTTTGAGGTTATTTCAGGTTGTGAAATGGTAAAGTTTTAATAATTAAATATTTGGAAGCTTTTTTAAATCCTTTTTTGGTGTCTAGTAAAACATTGCCATGTTTCAAAAGGACCTCATAAATCCAGTGCCGGATTAGCCACGTAGCAAGAGTAGCAAATGCTACGGGCCCCGCGAATTTGGAGGCCCCGCGCTCCAACGCCTGTTTGACCGTAATAAAAAATATTAATTTAGATACCAGCGTAAAATATCTTGCATACCTTAAACGCAAAGAGCTTAGGCTATGATTCACTTCAACTTGAAAATCTGAAACTCGATTTCGTCATATTAAACCGTAAAAGTAAGTACCTAGGAATTAAACGAACTTTCTAACGTTAATGTTATAAAGTTTAATTATAATCGATATACAGTGAAAGCTCTCCTTGCGGACAGCTCCTATAAGCGGACATCTCTTTTAACCGGACAAAGTTCCTGGAACCGAATTTCAGCCATCAATTTTCAATGTTAAATGCATTCCGATAAACGGACGCTCTTATAAACGGACGCGGACACTAGATTTTCCTGTATGTGATCAAAAAATCTCCCATAAGCGGACGCGAAACTCTAATACCCGGACGATTTTTTAGTTCCGCTTATTGCAATGCACATATCTACATACATAAAATTCGGTAATTCCCCGATTTATATTAGGTGATTCCCCATTTACGCATTTCGTTGGGCAGCCTGTATGTAATCTTGTGGCTTGTCTTCAGTTCAGGCAAATTCGTAGTTGATTGAGTTACGTATTTTATTATTGTAACTGTAAAATGGCACCAAAAAAAAAGGATGCTCTCGTTAAAGGAAAAGATGGAAGTTGTTAACGTATTAGACAGAGAAAGTGTTTCAGTTCGTCATTTGGCAAAGAGGTTTAATATTGGGAAAGCGCAAGCAGCTGAAATTGCCAAAAATAAGGAAGATATCAGGAGTAAATGGCAATCAGGAACTAATATAAATCAAAAGAAGGAATTTTAAAAAAAGGAAGGTTTTGCTATAGACAAAACATGTTTTGAGTGGTTTGTGAAAGCTAGAAGTCAGAACATTCCAATCTCAGGGCCGATAGTGAAAATAAAAGCTAAAGAAATCGCCACTACTTTGGGCTATAATAATTTCAGTGCGTCCGACGGGTGGCTGCAAAAGTGGCGCAAGAGACATAGTGTGAGTTTCAAATGCATATCTGGCGAAGCTGCTGCAGTAGATCAAGTTGATGTGTCACAATTTTTGGAGAAACTTCCGTCCATGTTGCTTGGCTACAAACCAGAAGATGTGTACAACGCAGATGAGAGTGGACTTTTCTTTCGCGCATTGCCCGACAAAACTCTGTCCTTTAAAGGAGAAACATGTGTGGGTGGAAAGTTGTCTAAAGATAGACTAACCATTTTATTCTGTGCAAATATGGTCGGTGAAAAATGCGATTTGATTGTGATCGGGAAAGCGGCTCGTCCCCGTGCTTTAAAAAACGTTGCTATTAAGGATCTACCAGCGACTTGGAAATCCAACAAAAAGGCATGGATGACCCGAGAAATCATGTCTGAGTGGTTAGTCGAATTCGACCGGAAAATGAGAATCCAAAAAAGGCAAGTTCTTTTATTTTTAGACAATGCATGCTCTCATCCTCGTGATATGAAAATGAAAAATGTGAAAATTATATTTTTACCGCCAAACACAACTTCTGTTTGTCAGCCCATGGATCAAGGTGTCATACAGAACTTTAAATTTTATTATCGGCACTTGATTTTAAAACATATTTTAACAAAAATTGACGATGGTCAAAGCTTATCTGAGCTTACAAAGTCTATCAATGTGTTAGAAGCTTTGTATTTTATAAAAACAGCATGGAATAAAGTAAATTCCTCTACAATTAAAAACTGTTTTGGTAAAGCTGGATTCAGAAAAAGTGAATGTAGCTCAGAATTTGCTGAGCAAAATTATTGCGATGCTGAAGACGATCTGCCCTTAGCGACACTTGCTCAGTTACTGCGACATGCCAAACATTTAGGAGTAGCAGATCCCCAGAAAGTAGATGATTTCCTGGCCATAGACAATAACATAACAACAGAAGAAAATGCCATTGGCAACTTTTCGAATTTGGATGTAGAAAGCCCAGGCCAACTTGAATATGGTAGTCCAAACGACTCAGAAGAAGAAGTGGAACTGGTGGACTCACTAAGCAGTTCAAAAACGATAAATTCATATGGGGAAGCTCTAAATCATATTTCTATATTGAAAAAATTTGCTAAAGATGATTTCACTGCATTTCAACATTTGAAAAATTTAGAAAGTTATTACGAAAATTGTCTCCTTCAGCAAAAGATGGTGAAATTTCGTCAGACAAACATTTTAAACTTTTTTCAACAAGCTAAAGAATAATGTTTTTTTTAAATTCTCGTACCATGTATTGAAGCATTTATGTTTTTGTATGCGTATATGTACATATATTATATAGATATATAGCATAAATACATACTTTAAAAATGTGGCGAGTTTCTGTTTCATTTTTCTCATGATTATAATACCTCATTTCCTCATGATTATATACCCCGTTATTTATACTCTATACTTACATACTCTCTTTTAAACGGGCACCTCCCATAAGCGGACAAAAGTTACGGAACCGTGAGTGTCCGCTTATGGGAGCTTTCACTGTATTTAGACTAGCATCTATACCACATTTCTACCCTTCAAGCGGTCAGATTTTTATTTTTTTATATAGATATTCATTTATATTGCGAGTTTACGTAGCCGAGATCGTACTTTTTCAATCGATTTTAATATAATATCGTGAAAACAGGCGAACTATTTAAATTTTATTAACTCAGTCACGATCCAATCTACTGTGGTTGGTTGATTTATCATAAAATATAGATTCATTTTATGAGTTAATATAGCTGACATTTTCTGAACCGATTATCATATCGATCATGTTTAGAGATTATGGAAAGCTAGTGACGGTAAAAAGGCGGGTAATTTAAAAATGAACTATTCAAATTATAAACCAAAAAGTTATTCAAAATAAAAATTACACATTTTATGTGTTCGTCGATATTTAATTTCTTTACTATAAAATAAGTGCGTGAACATTGTCGATTTTAAACTTCTTTTAAATTACTATAGGTAGGTGTAGGTATAATACCTACCACGAGAAACGTTGGTACAAAATCTACAACAATAATTTTAAATTGTATCTCATTTCTAAAATTGAGCGCTAGCCACACAACAAGTTATGTGTTGTACTACTTCCACTGCACTACACGCAAGTAGGCAGCACTGCAAAACTAATAGGGGAATTCCCTGACATTGTCATAGAAGGATCGAGTCATAACTCCAACAAATAAAATAGGATCATATTGACTATCAAACAATAAGAAATTGTTATACATTTACATTTGGCACAACGTAAAACACTTTGAAAAGCACTTTAGATGTGAGCTATTATTGAGAAAAGTTGTTTTGACATTTCTATGCGTACTGTTTTCGTGCGTGACGTAGCGCTGGGTGCAACTCATTCAATTATCTTTTTTAAAACACAATACAAGAGTTTTTGTATGTACAAAGGCAAAAATATCAATGAGAATTACTTCACTTAAGGTAAGATATTTTACCATGTATGTTTTGCATACTACAAATGAATCGCATTTGTCAAGTTGATTTTTTTTAATTTGAAATAATATTTGTTTGACCGTAGGTAGCATGAGCAGCAGATCTAGAGATACGGTCGGTACTACGCTTCTCTAAGTGCTAAGCGTAAAGCAAAAGATGGAAAGGAAGAAAAGAACGAAGCTGTTTTATCAAAAACGGGTAAGCTGATCGAGTATTTTAATGTTCAGAGTGATGTTACTGAATCTACAGAAGGTAAATCAGAAAATACTGAAGTTGCATCTGATTGTACAAATGATAGTGGTACTACTACCATTTCTGATGAAGCTACTTTTATATAGGTAATGTTGTAGTTGAAGAGACATCAATTCGTCCTAATTTAGCTATCTCATGTTCTAGCCAAAGATAAGTTAAAATTACAGCCAGTCCTCTCGATCTAGAGTCATCGTGTTCTAACCCAAAAGTAGTTGATGTAATATTATTACTTGATTCTAATGTCACTATAGTTTCAAGTCAAAAACGAAGTAAAACTAAAATATACTCTAACGATATTGGTGAATGGCCGAGCAACTTTGATAGAGATTGTTGGATTGGAAAAGGAATCAGCGAACTACTACATATTAATAGTGATTTTTTGTCTTCAAAGAAACTTTACGAAAACGAAAATAAGCCACGATACTGCCATAAGCCATTTTTCACCTATGAAGATAAACTAACAAATTAAAGTCACGTCAGAGACTGGTTGTGTTATTCGAGAACCACAGGACGACTCTTCGGTTTTGTTTGCAAAGTTACGAATTCAGATAGTTCGTCACCACGGTTTACGAAAGACGGATAAGATGACTAGAAGAATGCGCACAATTTGTTGACAAGACACGAAGAAAGCACTCCGCATCGACAAGCCATAATTTTGCTGTTAAACCTCAAAAACAAGAATAAGCATGTTGATTCTCAACTTGTGAGCCAAATTGAGACTGAGCAAAAGTATTGGAGGCTACTCTTAAAACGAATCAGTGCAGTAATAAAGTTTTTAGCAGAACGAGGTCTTTCGCTTCGGGGTAGTGATGAAATTGTTTGTTCACCACACAATGGAAATTATTTTGGCTTTTTAGACTTTTTGGCTCAACAAATACAAAATCATTCTAATAAAGGTAAGGGACATACGCCATATTTATCAAAATCAACTTGTGAGGAGTTTATTCATCTAATTGCATCAAGCATACTGGATCAAATTATTTGCCAAAATAAGAGATACATATACTACTCAGTTTTATTGGATTCTACTCCAGATATATCGCATGTAGACCAACTGATTCTGATAGTGCGCTATGTTCTGCCATCTGGATAAGTGGAAACATTTGTTAAGTTGTTGGACATGGACGGTCATACTGCTGAACAACTTGGTCAAAGTTTACTAGATTTCTTAAATGAGAGTGGCATTGATATCAAAGATTGTGGGTGGGCAAAGCTACGATAATGCCAGCAACATGAGTGGGAAATACAAATTTGGTTGCTAAGTGCGCTGCAGACTGCTGTACAGAAGCATTACTTTTCTTTGATTTCATTCAAAAATCTATAATTTTTTCCGCTTCCACCTATCGATGGAGTCGTCTTACAAATTCTACTTCAAAAATTCCCATTTTGAAACGGTTATCGGACACTATGTGGTCAGCCCGAGCTGATGCTACGAAGGCACTTTAATGTGGTTTTGTCACTATTAAGCAAGTTTTGGAAGACATGTTAATAACGTGGATCAAAAAGCGGAGTGCCGTAATAAAGCTTACGGACAAATTTCAACGATGAATAAGTTAGAAACGAGAATAATGACAATTACATGGAACCGACTAGCGCTTCGTTGCAGTCGTCTGATCAAGACCTTAATACAGGATACGCCCTTTATGAATCATTATATGGCTACGTCCAAGCAATGCGATCCACATTTTCAGATATTGAGGCAAGAGCCAGAGATCTCACCAACTGTGAAGAATACCAACAACAGACATCAAGACGAATCAAGCGAAATACAAAGTACGACCATTTCAGCGGCTCTACTACACTCGACGACTTTGTTGAAAACCAAACACCTGGACAACCTTTCGAGGTTTAGGTGTTTATTGTCATTACTGATAATATACTGTCAGCTTTAACTAAACGTATGAAAGCATATCATAAGATAACTAGTGTTTTTGGAGTTTTTCGACAGCTAAAATCTCTTACAACAGAAGAGATTATGGAAAAATCTTCAATAATGGTCAGTGCTCACGAAGATGATTTGGAGAACAGCCTAGGTGGCAAATTAGTGCAGTTCGGAGAGCTGCTGAAAACAGATGTGGCTACTGTTATTGACAGCAAGAGACAGGAGCCTCTTGAACAGCAATTTTATAAACTTTTATTAAATAATTGCCTTGGGTATTTACTTGTCTTTTTCAACATCAAAACGTATTAAAAATGAATTAAGGAACATGCTGGACCAAGAACGTATTAATCATCTCACTGTGTTGAATATAGAGCATGATTTGTTCAAAGAAGTCGATATTGAAAGTGTTATCTCTAAATTTACCCGTATTAAATCCAGAAAAGTTTATTTGTAACAGTTTTGTTTTATTTAATACTCTAAACTTGAGAATATAAGGCAAACCAACGGCCCCTTGACAGAATTTGCAACATGCCCCGCGCTGGATTGATCCGGCACTCCATAAATCCAGTTTTTGGTTCATTCTACTATGTGGTCTCAAATTTTAGAACCAATCTCTCTGGCGCAATCCTGCTGAAGATCGCATAGACTGTCGAAAGCTTGTGATGTAATTTAAGTACACTTTGCATAATTTGTCGACTTCCCCAAAGACGAGTACTTCCACTTAGTATCTTGTTGTTATGCCGCGTGTTTTGAACCAGTCAACTGTTGTCACTTTTCATGCCTATAGACTTTTAATATCCAAGCTGTCGATATGGCAAATTACTTTTCGTGAGATCATCGCATCTAGGCTAGGGCATAAAGTCTGGTTGCGCTTACCGACAGTTGTAAGTAACCGGTAAGTTCCGATGAAAACAAACATACCGATGCAGGCATCAAGGTCTTTTATCTTGTGAGTGTAAGAAGCACGAACAGAAATGATACTTTTGAAGGAAACTGACGATAATTTGCAGTAAAAGATACAATACTGTTACTGTCTATTTATTTATTGATCAGAATAATAATAACAATTAGTTGATTTTATTCGATTCTTTTACATTATGCATTCAACATATAACAATAGGCATGAGTCATTGATGGCATCTAATTCAAAAATAAACAATTACCCTTTCATACAGTCAGTGTTCGTTCTAAACAGATTTTTGCTAAGTATAGGTAAGTCTGTCTTTTAAACCTATATTGTAATGGTATGATCAACCTACTGGACGGTGTCACAATAGGGACTTCGAGATTTTTATTCGACCACTTTTACAGGGACTTGAGCTATTTTATATATGTGTAATCTTGCGACCCAGGAATTTAGTATTATTATGAAGAAGCGCATCTGAATTCTGTAAACGCACAAGGAAAATTCACCTTAATTCTGTCGGCAGGCAAGAACTAATCGTGCCCCAATTAGATAATATGTATATATATATACAGGGTGACTTCGAAGTTGAGTCATTTATTTTAACAGTGAGTAGATCTGATCAAAAGAAATGTTTTTTCCCTTTAACATTTTTCTGGTAAAATTAAAGTAACAACACATATTTTGGTTTATCTTCCTTCTACAATCATTATCTGAAAATTAATGACTCAACTTCAAAGTCCATATATATAGGCGGAAGCTTTAATTTTTCACCTATATATATATATATATATATAAATATATATATATAAATTTTTCACCTATATATATATATATATATATATATATATATATATATATATAGCTGAAAAATTAAAGCTTCCGCCTTTTGTTGGGTACTTCGACAAAATTTAAGCAAAGAGGACTCTTTATACTTTTTTTAGTTCTCTCTAGCTTTCAATGGACTTTGCCATCATCATCAGGAGCTGCAATTACAATGATAACAGTAGCAACAAAAGTGTAAAATGAATTTAAATTAACTCAACTTACAGTAGTATGTGAGGATGTTGCTAATTGTTGTTTACGTATATATATGTTATATATATCGATCATTTTGAAGAAGATTGTTAAATTTCGGAAATTTTCCATATTCCATTTTATTGCGATAGTAATTCAGAAAATGTGTTTACATGTATGTGGATAATGGTTACATCTGCCATCTCTGGGCAAATGGCTACAACTACAGATGTAACCATTTTCCACATAATTGTAAACACATTTTCTCAATTATTAACGCAATAAAACGGAAAATAAAAATTTTGAGATGTAACCCTTTTCTTCCAAATGAAGAATATGCATCTCACCAATACATTTTTCAAGTTGGTCATGTGTCATATGGAGAGGGAAACTTTGGTTTTGTCATAGACACGTTTTCGTAATGGTCGTCTGATTGACACTTTTTGTGGGGATCCCTCAAGGGAAAAGTCTTTCGGATAACTAGCAGAAGATTAATAATCTGGAGAAAAACATTTCCTAGGTTAAGTTAAGATTAGTGAAAATTTTAGACAAACAATGATCTGTAGGAACAGCTAAGGAAGATATTGTATATAAAACATTAACCCCATACTTTTTCATTTTGATAATATTAACAAAAATGATACGGTACTAGATTGCTAACTCTCTAAACAGGACGAAATTAAAATATTAACAAAGGACTATGACATTCATTCACAGAAGCCTAATTGTTAACAGTGAAATTGATACTACCTTCTTAATTTAGGAGTTAAGTTTGATAATTTATGCACGCGCGTGCAAGTGGTACAGCTGACATGACGTAATTTAGTAGCTAGCAAATTGTACGATACACGTTAAATGTGGAAGTATCACTTGATAAGTACGTATCAATGAAACATTGCATTGGAGTGGATCTATACAACAGTTCAGCGAAATGAGGCTCAACCGACCAGTGTACAGTAGAAATAATTAGAGACGCTCACGTTAAATCAATCTACATATGACTTTCTTGACCTTCTTCTGGTACAATTGACATTCTTTGCTCCTCTATGTCTTCCTGTCGCATACTCAAATCAGGAATAGTGATGTCTCTGATAGACAACCTCCTACTCTTTTTTCTCATTCTAACTTCGGTTAAAGTTGGCATCTTTGCTTTCGTCAGTAAATGAGGGCCTAGTACCGTAAGCAGAAGAGCCCCGGTTGGTGCAGTTAGTATAATAGAAAGGATGCAGGTCATCAAGATTTTCTCTGCTGCTTCATGATCTTTGGTATCTTGGGGTACTAGAGAGAGAGCTACTGGACCTAGTGCTGCCTGAAAATCACAACAGGCTATCACTAACACATTCCACAAAAGATCAAAGTAGGTAGTGAGATCAACGAATTCGAATAGATTAGGAGCCAGGACTACATATGTTTACATTGCATTGTTTGTCGCCAAACTTGTGTAGTTTCATTGCATAGTTCTAGCTAATATACAGGAATAAATTAAATAAGGCAAAGAAACGAAAAGAAATATCATTTAACGGCATATGAACAAGACTGCTTAATACGTGATTTTGAAAGGGGAAAAATACGAAACATCATCTGCGTCAAACAGCAACAATGGAGGAATACCTGCAAATAGTGGGATACCTTGCATACATTCTACTCGCGTTTTCTAAATGGTTGTCGCGATATGAGCAAATTCATGGCAGAAAGTAAATTTGTAATTAAACATAATATGAAAATTCCTGCTATAATACCATTGAGACTATTTTTATCTGAAAAAAATTGGAAGTATTTTAATTAATTTGATATTCATAGTTTTCTTTTGCGGACTGAGCTTTCTCCATAAAATCTCATGGCACTGAATGAGACCGTAAAATTACTACCCATTACACGGAAGAACCTTTGCTAAGAGCTTTTAGATTCAATATTAAGGTAGATAAAATTGAATTTTAGTTAATAAAAGGTGGGTCGTAGTTTCAGTTGGCCTCTTTTCAGTATCCGTCAAAAAATGTTGCTTGTCTCCAATGTTTTGCATTATTCAATGTTGTTGCTAGGTATAGCTACAATTCCGTTGCTAATGAAACAAGAAGTGGATCAAAATAAATCAAAGTACCTCACAAATATTCAGGTAAAAGCTCAGTTATGAGGTACATACGAGTACATGCTCTTTCGCAACGCCGATGTCGATAGAAAGATTTGTTTTTGCAACAAGGTACGAATTTAATGTGAAATGTCAACAATCGTCAAACTGGCGTCTTGAGCTTGATCACCTTATAGTTGTACATATATTTGGCGACCAACAAATCGTATAATTGCTCCTTCTGTCTAGTCTGAATTTGTTGATTGAGATCTTTATACTGTTCTAATTATTCTAGGTTGTGTTTTGTCGCTGAACAACATGAAGGTGTACATTGTGTATGACTTGAAAGTAACATCCTGTTACTATCAGGTTTTGGAGAACCTAATATCGTATATGGCTGTATATAGCATTGGGTAGCTCAAACTTAAAACCCTCCCTCACTGGGTCTCTATGTCATAGTGAATAGTACACGTAGCCGAGCTTAGCTATTATATGACAGATTCAAGTCGTCCTGACGTGTCGATTAATGACGACTGACGCTAAGATCAATATGTTAGCTTGGCTGAGGATACTGGTGATGTGCGCCGTCGTCATAGCGTCCTGCTGGAGGAAAGCTCTTAGTCTTGCCTGTAGAGTCCTTTAGCAGGTTACATTCAATATTTATTCGGTATTTATAAAAATTAAGTATTTGCTTTCAAGTAAAAGGTAAAGTTAAAATGTTTTACTTTAATCAGTAGTCATTATAACTATCTTTTCCCTGCAAGGAACCTCTTCAAATAATTAGAGTGAAAAGTACAACGATATCGTCAAACAAGTCATTAGAGATGGCAGGATACCGTACCGACTGTCCCATAGGATGGTAGTGTTACTTGTCCACATAATTTCACGCAGTGCGGAATTGTTCCATTATACGAGAATCATTAACTAATACAGATTATTAAACTTGCATCAGTACTAATTATAAATTCTGGTCACATGTGACAT